GTTTACATATGTTTAGATATACAAATACCACTGCCTACAGTATATACAATTGCCCACAGTATTCAGTGCAGTAACATTTTGTACAGGTTTGTAGCCTAGAAGCAATAGGCTATACCGTAAAGCATAGGTGGGTTGTAGGCTATACCATCTAGGTTTGTGTAAGTACACTGTATGATATTCACACAACAACGAAATCACCCAACCATGCATTTCTCAGAATGTATCCCATCTTTAAGCCATGTGTGACTGTATTAAAAAGAAAGCAAGAATTAGCCAGATCATGGGGCCGGGGGATGGTGGTTTTAGGTAGCAGAAACAGCCTGTATGAAGGCCTGGAATTTTAAAACCATAAGTTTCAGGAAGGTCGTTTTGATGTTTGTGGATATTGAGGTTGATTTCTGACAAGAATTATGTATAATTTTGTCCTGAAAGAAGCTGCAGAATTCATTTTTTCTGCAAGAGATTAGGAAGTTATATATAACAGGATATCGTTAGAGAAAGCATCCTAATGTTAATTCAACAGAAATTCAAGTGTCAATGGTCTGTTTGTTATTTTCTAAGTATTTATATAAAATATATTCTCACTGAGGACTGAGAAATTAGTGTAAAATAATAAAAAGTCTGAATTATAGAATATTTTAAATCTATTTTATAATCTTGACTGGTCCTAATAAAATGTTGTTAAGTGATATTATTTGGGGAATGCCTTTGAGTTAATAGATTAAAAATGATGGCAATTTGTATAGCAATTTTTGTACATAAACGTGTTCTAAATAGAAAGAGATATTACTTGTAGCAGAGTAAATATTTCTCACGATTTTGAAGGGATGCTTAATGTGTCCCTCTCAGTAATCAAGTCTTCAAAATCTCCCATATCTCCTATTAAGTTCTCTCATATCATTTTTGTTTCCTATACAGATTCTAAAGTTCCTTTCTTTCCCTCCATCACTGTTTTACAAACACTCCCATTTCCAGTTCCAAATAAAAATCAGTAATTTAAAGCAAATGGATCAAATTACAATGTGGCTGTCATTAAATCAGAGTATCCTGGCCCTGTGATAATATGAATTATGCTTACTGTTTATAGTATATCAGAATCACTGGGTTTATACAGTGAGTTTGTATCCCTCTTTTTTTTTCTTTCTTGATTAGATAATATTGAGACTGTTTCTCAAATCAAGTTGCCTTCAAATAAACCAGTTTTGTGGTTTTTGTTTTTTTTTTTTTTTTTTGCTTTTATAGATTTCTTGATAACCGGCTGTTCGCTACCTGCTCTGATGACACTACAATAGCACTGTGGGATCTGAGAAAACTGAACACCAAAGTATGCACTTTACATGGCCACACTAGCTGGGTGAAGAACATCGAATATGATACTAATACAAGACTCTTAGTAACATCAGGATTTGATGGAAATGTCATTATTTGGGACACTAACAGGTTTGTGACTAGGAGACCATGTTAGGATCGTGAACAAAAACATTCTTTTTTAAGATAGTGAACAAATTCAGTGTTCTGTCCTAGCCTTGAGAAAGAAACTCACTTTAGGAAAAACAATCAAAAGGTGATTCTACCTTTTATTACTTGCACTTAGTCAGATATTGCAACTGAGAATTTTGGAGCTGGGTATAGCAGCTGAAGCCTGTAGTCTCAGCTACTGGGGAGACTGAGGTGGGAGGATTGCTTGAGGCCAGGAAGTTTGAGACCAGTCTGGGAAGCATAGTGAGACTCCCATCTCTAAAAAAATTTTAAAAATTAGCAAAGTGTGGTGTCTCGGGCCTGTAGTCCCAGCTACTGGGAGGCTGAGGCAGAAGGATCACTTGAGCCCAGCAGTTCAAGGCCAGCCTGAGTGATACAGCAAGACCCCATCTCAAAAAAACATAATTTTTTTGGAGAAAATTATATGGGAAGGAGACCAAGTAATATAGTTAATGATTAAAACTGGTTTATAAAATGAGTTTCCTGAATTTAAGGAAAAATGTTTTTATCATTTCTTCTGTGAAACTGAAATGTTTCTCCCTCTTTGTTCCTTTAATTCTAAATCTATTTAGTTTGTAATTTTTGTACTTGCACTAAAAGAGTGGTTCTCATTTGGAGTGGTACTCATCTGAAAGGGACTGTTTGGAAATAATATATGGGGCAATTTTGGTTGTCACTGTGGGGGAAGAAAGGGGGAATTTAGTCGGCAAGGACCAGAGTTTCTAAACATGCTGTACTACAGGACAGTTTGCATAGTGGACCAGTTGTCCCACCTGAAATGCCAGTTAAGCCTCTGTTGTGAAACATTTCAATAAAATGTCTCCTTAAAAATAAATTGATTGGCCGGGCGTGGTGGCTCACGCCTGTAATCCTAGCATTCTGGGAGGCCAAGGCGGGTGGATCGCTCAAGGTCAGGAGTTCGAGACCAGCCTGAGCAAGAGCGAGACCCCGTCTCTACTAAAAAGTAGAAAGAAATGATCTGGACAACTAAAAATAGATATATAGAAAAAACTAGCCGGGCATAGTGGCTCATGCCTGTAGTCCGAGCTACTCGGGAGGCTGAGGCAGAAGGATTGCTTGAGCCCAGGAGTTTGAGGTTGCTGTGAGCTAGGCTGACGCCACGGCACTCGCCCCAGGCAAGAGAGTGAGACTCTGTCTCAAAAACAAACAAACAAACAAATAAATTGATTGTTTTTTAAAAAAAGAAATTGATTAATTAAAGAGTGGATGTTTGAGAAATAATTAAAATATGCCTGTTACTAGGTATGGCGAAATGATAATACAATAACATATCAGGATCATTTCTGAATATTCTTCTGAGAGATCATATATATAGAGAGGGTCATATATATAAGAGAGGGTCTATTTGAGATTTCTAGCTACACATATTGTTTGAATGGAGGGTAGAACTATTGATTAGACTAAGGCATACCTGCTAAAATTTAGAAATAAATTTGTTTCTTAAAATTTAGAAATAGAATTTAAATAGGAATATAAATGATAACTTCCAAATTAGTAGAAGGGTAAGAAGCTAATAAAACATGATCAATCTAATAAAAGCAGAGAAGGGGAGGAAAAAAAGAATCATTTAAAACATAAACAGGTAAATTAGGAGACACAAAAATGTGGTAGTCAAATAACCTAAACATCAATCCAGATATCAATAATCATGATAAACATATATGGACTAAACTAGCTAAGTAAAATATAGATAGTATTAGATTGGATTAAAAAATAAAACCAAACTGTATTTCCTTTGTGAGGGACCCAGCTAAAACATATAAACCTAAAAGAGTTGAAAGTAAAAGGTTGGAAAAAAAATAGCAAATAGATACACATCAAATTAAAAAATTATAGCTACATTAATAGCAAACAAAATAGAGCTTAAGGCAAAATATTATTGTTGATAAAAAGGCACTATATTAAAAAGTTCATTTCACTAGAATATAAAAGAATTCTTAGCTTGTATGTACCTGGAAACATACCCCCAAAGCAGAAATGTACAGAATTATAAGAAAAAAGTGAGAAATACCCATCTTGGTGGAAAATATTAATAGCATTCTCTCATTTACTAATTGATATGATAGATAAAAAATGAGTAAGGCTATGGAAGATTTAAATATTAATAAGCTTCACGTATTACACATATGTAGAATTCTGCTCCCAGCAAACAGTGAATACATCCTCTGGAGCAAACTTAGAACAGGTACAAAAAGTTGAGCATGTACTGAAGTACAAAGTAGGTTTTAACTGATATCCAAGAACTGTTATCACACAAACCATTTTCCCTGACCTCAGTACCATTTAGTTAACATAGGTGATTAAAAATTCACATGTTTAGAGACTTACAAACTCACTTTTAAGTAATTCATGCATCAAAAAAGAAATCATAGTGAAATCAGACGATAGACTAATGAATTGATGAACTAAGCATTGTACTCAAAAAACTGGAAAATAAAAAAGTAAACCCATTGAAAGTAGATGTATGGAAATTATAAATATAAAAGCACAAAATTAATGAAATTGAAAATGAAAATACAATAAAGGATTTTTTAGAGCCTGCTCTTTGAAAAAGGCAATTCTCTGGTAAGATTCATCAAGAAAAAAAAGAGAGAGGACATATATAAATAATATTAGCAATGAAAAATGAGACATAAAAAATAGAGAATAAGATGATAAGATCAGCTTTAGGCCAATATACTTGAAAACTTTGATGAAATAGACAGTTTACTTAAAAAATGCACCTTCGCAAAACTGACCAAGTAAGAAATAGAAAACCTGAAATAGACCAATTACTGAGACTGACGTTTAACTAATATGGACTGGTTTAGCTAAAGTAACTGTTAAAAGATTGAACTTCTTCCATGCTAATTGGTAAACAGCCACTGCCCTGTGTTATCCCCTGACACCCTCTGTCTGCCTAGGCCCCTCTTCTAGGGATACCTCCCTCAAGATCTCCCCAGGATGCATTAGCTAAAGTCTCCCTTACACAATAGGGCAATTCCAAGACCCTGTTCCAGCATAGCCATCCATACCTATTCAGACTAGCTAGTGTTCATGCAATTCTGGTTATTTAAATATTCTGAATATCACCTCTGCCATAGCCATTAAAGAACTAGAAAAAAAATCAATCAAAACTTATCTACAGGCCGGGCGCGGTGGCTCACGCCTGTAATCCTAGCACTCTGGGAGGCCGAGGCAGGCGGATTGTTTGAGCTCAGGAGTTC